CAAGCCTTAAAGATTTGTTTTCAGCTGAAATTTTGTCCATTTCGGTCGTCCGATGGGTCATTTCGGTCGACCGAAATAGCTAGATCCCAAGAGTAGCTTCAGTCCAGTTTCAGCACTGTTCTTCCGATTTCAAATGACTATAACTCCTTCGTTTTAAATCCAAATGGGGTGATTCTTGAGCCTAAATTCATGGATTTTGAGTCAGCTTTCCAATGGTACCAATTCCATTCTTAGGTTCTAATCATAGTGAGAGTTATTCAAGTTTTAGTGAGAGGGTGTCGATTTTTGCTTAAACCGGGAAAAGACGTTTTGTGGGATTCTTGTCCAATGTTCTTAGAACCTCTTGGAAAGTCATGAAATGATTAAGTTAGGTTGTTTTCACCTTGTTTGACTTGTTTCGAGTCAATTTTCTCTTTTTGGTTGTGAGTTGACCATTTTGCCCTTGGTTCATGGTTTTTTGTCCGTTTCGACCTTTGTTTCCGTCTTCGTTCTCCTTGAACTCTGTGACTTCTTGGAAGGTCACATTGGTGTCTTAGAGATGGTCTATATCTCTATAGACTTTGGTTCTATCTTTTGCTTCCGCATTTCAGACTCATTCTCAGGTCAACTTTCGATTCATCACTAACGAACCGGGTTGAAAAACTTAGGTCGCTACATAACGGACTTGTTTAAATTTAAATGGTGTAATTGACTCATGTACGGTTTTATTTGAATGTAATGATATCTAGTTGGGTTAATTTCATTGTCATGTGTATGATTTGGGACAGGTTTAGATGTTAAATATGGTCACCAAGGGACTAAATGGGGTGCCCATGTGTATGTTCACAGTTTTAGGCCTTTTCTGGGTAAATTTTAGGTTCTAGTCATGATCGGTTGGTCAATTAAACATCAACCTTCGCAATAGCACGAATCATTGTAAAATAGGGCTATTGGTCGGGTAAGTCGAACCACTGGGACTGCGCTAGTCTATGGCAACCTAAGAGTCTAGATTACTTTTAGAATGATGAGGGGGTATATAGAGTTTTGTTGGTTTGTCACTTAGTCACTAGAATTGAAATGTGCTTAAAGAAATAAATGCAAGGAATTTAAGAGGAAGAAGTCTAGAAAAGGAGGTCTAGGGAAGTGAATTCACCACCAATCCTATAAAAATACTAAATTTCTATTAACTTGGGAAACAATTTCACTACATGGCAATGATATGTAGCAATACTAGATTGCTACATTATCCTCAAGAAAATCATAGGATCAAGATTTAAGTATAATCCCTCGAAGAGCCACATGCTAGAACTACCTAGATTAGGGTGTAGCCATAACATGCTCACTAAGCTAGGGACCATCAAACCCCTCAATCACTATGGTAATAGCACATGAAGTCAAGATACAAGATTAATCCATCAAAAGGAAGTCTTAAGCTATGGATTAACAAATTTCTCATACAACATGCCTTTAAACCCATTTCACAATTTCATTTCCATTCTCACTATGAAGATGCAAGTTATATAATCATGAGAGGATAAAATCTAAGACAAGATAATGAACTCAACATGATCATTTATAGGCATTGAAATCCATTACAACAAGTGTAAGTGCTCTAAATCATGAAACTACCATGTACATGAATCATTCCCCAAATTAAATGAAATTAAAGCATGCTTACAAGAGAGAGCTTCATCACCTCCTTAGATGGAGGTTTAGTTATCCATGGATACAAAAATGGAAGAAGGAAGCTTGGAAGAATAAGCCATTTTTTGAGCTCCCTTCCTTTGGCTTCAAGAACACACCCCCCTTGCTCTCTTCTCCCTCCTCTAATCTTGTAGAATGAAGCTTATGAAATGTGTGGCTCTTATCCCTCTTATCTACCACCAAACTAGGCTCTCTCTCTCCTCCAAAAACATCCCCAACCACCTCATAAAAGAGGGCCATCCAAAATTAGAAATTTCAGAGCACAAGTGGGCTGTCTCGTGGAGCAAACTACCCAAATTTCGAGTGCTCGAAATAGGGCCTCGAGCACTCGAATTTAGTGTAAAAAGCTCCATGCTTCACTTGCTCCGCCCAGACCTACTTTGATGAAATGGCCATAACTTTGTGTTCCGAACTCCGAATGACAAACCGTTTAAAGATTTGGAGAGCTGATTCAGAACTTTAAAAACTTCATGTTTTGATAAAGACCCAAATCTCAAGTCTGTTTGGTCGAAAATGGGGAGAAAGGCAGTACTTCAGTGCTGCCAGGCAGTTCTGCGCACCTCTGGTAACAAGGCCATAACTCTCTGCTCCGAGCTCCGAATGATGAACCGTTTGAAGATTTAGAAAGCTAATTCAGAGCTCTAAATCTTTCATGTTATGATGGAAGTCCAGTTCTCGAGCTTTCTGGGTCAAAATGGCGAGCAAAGTCCTGACTCCACTGCTGATCTCGTGAAGCAATCTGTCCTAATTTCGAGCACTCCAAATAAGGCCTCGAGCACTCGAAAATTGGCCAGAATGCCCTATGCTTGGTTTGCTCCGCCCGGACCTACTTTGGTAAAATGGTCATAACTTTGCGCTCTAAACTCCAAATGATGAACCGTTTGAAGATTTGGAAAGCTAATTCAGAGCTCTAAAAACTTTATGTTTTGGTGGAGATCCAATTCTCAAGGATGGTTGGTCGAAAATGAAGATCAAGGCAGAATTTCATTGCCGCCAGGCAGTTCTGCGCACCTCTGGTAACAAGGCCATAACTCTCTGCTCCGAGCTCCGAATGATGAACCGCTTGAAGATTTGAAAAGCTGATTCAGAGCTCTAAATATGTCATGTTATGATGGAAGTCCAGTTCTTGAGTTTTCTAGGTCAAAATGGCGAGCAAAGTCCAGGATTCATTGCTGCCAGAAATTCAGCCTTGTGCCCTTTTGATGGTCTAAAATCCACAAAGTCTTATTTTTGCTCCTTTTTGGCAAAAGGACCTGAAAATACATAAAAACATAGAAATGAAGATAATCTACATAAATTAACATACAACGGACTTTACTAATGCAATTTAGAGCGCTTGAATATACAATATTCGGCGCTTATCAAGTCATCTGGATCTGGTTCAGCCCCATTAAACCAGTTCAAAAGGTGCTTTTGGTTTACGGTTGGGGACACTGTCCAACTTGAACCGGTTTAGCCCCATTGAACCGGTTCAAGTCTCCCAGTACACTTTTTTACTTTCACAGTTTGACGGCCTGGATCACTTGACTTCGTGTAGTCATTACTTCTTTGTTCTGAACCCAAATAGGGTCATTCTTGAGTCCATTTTCAAGGATTTTGAGTTAGATTTCCAATAAGACCAACCTCATCTTTAAATTACATTCATGTTAAGAGATATAGTTGTTTTAGTGGAACAGTATCGGAATTTCCCTTGAACCGAGTAAGGGCACTTTTGTGAAATCATAACCAATGACCATAGACCCTCACCGAGCATCATGGAACGACTAGAATGATTGTTTTAAACTTCATTTGACTAGTTTAAGGATATATTATCCTTTCATATTGTAAAATGACCATTTTACCCCTAGTGTGTCATCGGGTTTGGTTAAGGACCCAGTTAGCGATTCGAACCCCTGGTTCGAGTCGTTACATACCATGTATAGGAAACATATCCTCAATAGCCTGAGGTGCTTGAACATTCTCTAGCACGTGGTTATACACCCTGCCATAATGCAACTGCTGCAGTGCTTGTCCCTATGGCGATGGCAGCGCTGGGAACGTTTGGCCCTGAATACGTGGAATCTGTGAAGCAGGTAAAGGTAATGCTGCCCTTTATCCCTGCCGCACCTACTGTCCCTGTCTAGTCTTAGGACACTGCTTGGAAGTGTGTCCAAGCTTTCCATAAGTATAACAACTACCTCTGAAGATACCAAACTGCCTCCTCTATTGGTTAGTCGGTGGCTGACCCTGTCCTACCTGTGATCCCCCATTAAGCTATCTCTGAATAGGTGCCCCATCTCTCTAAGCATCCGAACCACCCTCAATGAGACCTTGGTCAAGCGTGGGGTCCACTTGACCCCAAAAAAAATCTCTTTTGTCTCTTATTTAGATATGTACACTAAACACACTAAAATTGGTACAATTAGGCACACAACCACATAATCATACTCTAAATAAATATAATGAAGCGTAATAATGCAAAAAAATAATCCTGTGCACGAAAAATCCATTTGCGGGTCCTGCTTGGGACCTGGCCCGAAAATCTGAAAAATACCGAAATGGCCAATAATGCATTTCTAAGAGTCCTAAACTCGAATAAATGCCCTAACTAACTCTTGGAACTCTTACGGCACGTCTAACGATGTTTGGCACGCCAAATGAGGCGATAAAATAAAATAATTCGAAAAATCGAAAAATTCTTGAAAATGAAAAATAGAAAAAATGAGAAACATTACAATTTTTTCTAACCCAAACACACGTGATTAAAACAAAATCTGAACTGCTACAGTAATTGAGAATATTTTAAAAAATAGATAAATGCTGAATGGGTGTCGCCAAAAAAAGTGACTGACATAGTGATTTTAAAATGGTGTCCCCAAAACGGCGACCCGCATTGGAGTGGATTGGGTCACCGTTTTTGGGCTGGGCTCGCCTAAATGGCCTGCGTTGAAGTTGCTCTTATTGATATTGTATTTTAAAAATTTATTCTTTTAAATTCATATCATATTGTATTGGTTTAATTTATTTTAAGGTATTGTTTGATTTCTTTTCATTAATATATATATATAGTCTTTAGAAATATAGGAAAAAGTTAAAAAAAAAAAAGATTATTAAAAATTTTAAAAATATTTAAATATTAATATTTTTGAAGAATAAAGACAATAATTAGATTAGCTAAAAATTTAAAACGTCCGAATACAAGTTTAAATTGCGAAATTTTAAAGTAGCAATTGGAATTGCTCGGAGACTTTTTCGCGTAGTTACATTACCAAGCTGATTTCACCATGTGCTCCTTTTTCAACTTGTGAAAAGTAACCTAATACCCCTACCGCATTCACATACGCGAGCGAACACAAGGTTTGACGAGTCCACTCTCACAGAGTTTCGTGCGACTTTCATCAATCGCTCGCTCAAATTAATAAATAGCCCTCAAAAGACTTTTTGTTCTTCTGAATTGCGACGGAGAGGGAGGATGATATTTATTCTTTCATTTTATTTTATTTTTAAACACTCCAATCTATTATTATTTTAATTTTTAATTTTTAATTTTTAATTTTAAATTTCAACAACCTATTAATTGAAATGACAGAGAGAAAGAGAAAACAAGGAGCTGAACATTCATTCATTCGATTAGATTCGATCGATGCGATTCAGAGTTATTAGTTCGGCTACTAGTCAGCGAAGAAGATTTGCGAGGCGGCGGTATATTGTAGGCGGCGGCGGCGACAGTGGTGGTTGTTATATCCAGTCAATTAATTATGCAAAATTACTGTGAAGAAACAGAGACTAGTGATAGATTGATTACTAATCTCATAGTACTAGTCATATAATTGGTTTAGGGTTGAGGGAAGCAAAGGGAAAAATGTCTAGTCATCAAAATCATCACCATAGTAGCAGCTTCAAGAAGGACACTGCAAGGCAACTAAGAGCTGTTGCAGAGGCTGCGATCGAATCGATCGGCTTAGGGTACGATCTGACCGAAGATTTACGACTCAAGTATTGTAAAAAGTATAGGTCTCCTTCTTCTTCTTCTGTCGATCCTCGGATGATCATGTTGGATGATGATAAGGTTCGTGACATAGCCATTCCAGGTGGGATTTTGGTACCCAATGTCTCCAAATCCATCAAATGCGATAAAGGAGAGAACATGCGTTTCAGTTCCGACGTACTATCTTTCCAACAGGTACCCCAATTATCATCTCATCTCATCTCATCTAACCTAATCTAACCTATTAATTCATCATCATCATATACCCACTATATATATATATATGTATGTATGTATGTATGTGTATATGCTGCTTTGCTTACTTGTGGAAGGAATTTAGTACCAACCAGTACTACTAATTTAGTAATTTGTGCTTTTGCCCTACCTTCTGAAATTCTATATATGGCCACACAGAGGCATATATCTGTAGAGCCGATTTTGGTTAATTAAATTAAGTATGTATTCTGGTCCAATATCAGTTTTTCTTATTATTTAATTTATGCAAATACCAATTGTTGTTAGTGAGAGACGACAATGAAAAATAAATACAACATGAAGGCACTTAATTCAGATTTTAATGCTTTATTAGAGATTGGGTAGATTGATGTAGGTAACATTGTTGTAAACACTTACTTAAATTTCATTTCTTTCTTGAATTTTTGCTCATTTTTAATCCATATTCAAATTTCTTTTCTGGTAGATGTCAGAACAATTTAACCAGGAACTATCTCTTTCCGGTAAAATTCCCTCAGGCCATTTCACCGCTGCGTTTGAGTTTACTGGTTGTTGGCAGAAAGATGCTGCCTATACTAAAACTCTCGCTTTTGATGGGGTCTTCATCACACTTTTCAGCGTTGCTCTAGAGAAGTCCCAGATAGCACTGCGTGATCATGTTAAGCAAGCAGTCCCATCATCATGGGATCCTGCTGCATTGGCAAGGTGAGTTAACAGCATTGCACTTGCTCAATTCTATTTAGGTTTCTTTGAAGTTCTTGTCTTTTACTTCCTGCGCTGCTTGTGTGCTTTCATATGCAATTTTCCGTTCTCAAGTTCTCAACTAGGGACTCTCTTGACCAAGTAATTTGATTGTTTTGCATGATTGTTGTTCAAACATTTTTACTAGTTTCAGTTAGAAAAAACATATATATAAAGTTGGTTTTTAGTTGACTTAATTTATGTTGGCAAGTTAGTTTCTTTTAACTTTTTTTATTTTTCTAGCATAAGGTTTGGTTCCAAAAAAGAAGGGGGAAAAAACCCTGGTAGAAGTCAATTTTTTTGGAATATTTGTCGCCTCAAAGGTGGAAAATCTGATCCATTCTGATCGGTAGGTTGCCATTAAAGTAGAACCCTGGTTACCCGGTTCCAACATGCTCTAACCCACCTATAAATGAGGTTTTCTTGAGTAACTCGGTAAGACTTGAATATCGAACTAAGTTAAGCGGAACTAGCTTCATTGTGGATATTTCGGGCGTTTTTCCACCATGGTTGTGCCCCTCATTCCAAGGCCCAACCTTTCATTTAGATCATGTTATGTTATGTGAGTCTGCTTTTGAGCTTGTTTAATAAAGTTTGAATTCAATTAAATATTGCTTTGGGGTTCCTTTAACTTAGTTATATGCTGATTTAGTGCAATAGACAAAACCAAGTCTTATAGAAACCCTCGAATCACCATTGGAGTCTAGATTTGGAATTAGAAAAGCCTATTGCTTATAAACTGAAAATATCACAAAACTACATTGATTAAGACTTCTTATAGCAGAGAAAAGGGCCTTCCCTTTTATAATACAGCCAATAATAACCTCTAATCTTCCTAGATAGACTTTAGAATCCCCACACAGTATTAATAACACCTTCACTACTTTCCTATTGATTAAGACTTCTTATAGCAGGGGAAAGGGCCTTCCCTTTTATAATACAGCCAATAATAACCTCTAATCTTCCTAGATAGACTTTAAAATCCCCACACAACATTAATAATACCTTGACTACTTTCTTAAGTATTCACTTAGTAGTTCCAGAGCTTAATTACTACTTAGTGAGTCATTAACTTCTTCAATACATTTTCTAGAGCCCCACTAATTATTTGCGTCAATCCCTCCTCTTTAGACCTTGAAGAAACCAAGGGCGGAGCCGGAAATTTTGATTTTGGGGGGGAGGGGGGGAAGAACTAATATTGTGTAACTAAAATTTGAAAGATTTATAAAAAAATTGAAATGTAATTTATTTATTTAATATAAATATTGAGGCAAATACAATACAAATAATGAGAAAAAGCAACCTATACAAGTAGTGATGAAAACAATTATGAAAAAGAAAAAAATATAGTTTAGCGGAAGCCATAAGTTATAGGTAAAAAAGAAGGTTAATTGTAAAGAAAAACCATTTCCCCCCACCCCTAATTTGTATCGTTATTGTGTGTTTAACATTTATTTGTTCCCTTGGATTTATTTATTTGTTTATTTTATTTTACTTTTTATTTCATTGGCAATGTTGTATTATGAATACTTGGTGTTTTGTCACCTATTTTGCATCTTACAACATCTCTACTATCATCTTTTCCTTTCTTGGAGTGAATATAATTGCTTTCCATTATCTTGAAACTCAGGTCTATGTTTTGATGCTTTCTTGATATTTCTGTTTACCTCATTTCTCCCTACAATAACTTGTAACTCGTACTAAATCTTTCTTTTATGCACGATTGATTTCACTTCTACCTTATTGATTTTCGTAGATGGTGTTAATTTAGTATTTAATGCATCAAGAGTGAAGATCTTGCTCTCCGTTTGTGATGCAGTGCAAATGGAAGAGTGCTTTCTTCAAATAGTTGAAGATCCTTAGAAGACTAGACTGAGTTTCCATTAATAGATGCAGCTAATGGTGTGATCAGATTGTGTGTTTATTTATGGGTCTTGAGTCATTTATCTAAGTTTTAAATCTGTTTTGATTTCATGTTTAGGATATTATTATCATTTTAGTTTTATTTTATAAGTCATGTGCCATTTAAGTGAGTCATGTGACCACTTAAGGACTGTTTAGTCATTTTTTTAGCTCTTTATTCTGCTGTAGAAAATAGTAACCGTTAGATTACATTTATTTGAAGGGCTAGGATTATATCTTTGTTGGGGCATCTGTTGGAAAATATTATTATAGGAACCCTTAAATTACTCATTGATAGAATATTTGATATGAGAATATCATAGGAGAGATTTTAGTCTATGGTAGAATATTTGATTGCAGTGATTTATGGTATTGATTTTAGGAATCTTCCATCAGTGTATTTTCCATATTTATCACTTGTATTCTTTTACCCATAAATAGAGGTGATCATTATATACAAAGGTTAAGAGAGTGTAATAAAGATATGTAGCCCTTTGTGCTTTGTGTGTCGTGGATGTAAGCCCTAGTGGCTGAACCACGTTATATTTTTGTATTCTTCATGTTTTAGTTTCTCTCTTCAACTTTTATATATTTCAACATGTTATGAGAGCAGGTTTATCATACCATACTCTATACTCTACTCATCTCGATTCTCTGGATCAACTCGTCTTGGATCTCCGGATCAACTCGTCTCGTCTCGTCTCGGATCTTCGGATTAACTCATCTCATCTTGGATATTTGGATCTACTCGTCTCAGACTCGCATAACTTCAAATTTAGTTTCAAGTTGGACACTTAAGGTTAAAATCTCCGTGTACCAGCTCGTCTCGTCTCGGATCAACTCAACTCGGCTCGGATATTTGGATCAACTCGTCTCAGACTCGCATAACTTCATATTTAGTTTCAAGTTGGACACTTGAGTTAAAATCTCCGTGTACCAACTTGAGAGAGAGAGAGAGAGAGAGAGAGAGAGAGGGGGGGGGGGTGTTGGAAAATATTATTATAGGAACCCTTAAATTACTCCTTGATAGAATATTTGATATGAGAATATCATAGGAGAGATTTTAGCCTATGGTTGAATATTTGATTGGAGTGATTTATGGTATTGATTTTAGGAATCTTTCATCAATTTATTTTCCATATTTAACACTTGTATTCTTTCATCTATAAATTGTGGTGATCATTGTATACAAAGATTTAAGAGAGTATAATAAAGATATGTAGCCCTCTAGGCTTTGCGTGTCATGGATGGAAGCCTCAGTGGTTGAACCACGTTATATTCTTGTGTCTTCAACTTTTAGTTTCTCTCTTCAACTTTTATGTCTTTCAACAGCATGCCCTGTGTCTTATAAAAGGGCTGTTCCAAGTTGTAAACAGCAGCTTTTGACGTACTTTCAATATAATCAACCTGCTACAACAGCCTTTTACCTCTCCTTTTCTTTGGGATTGAGTTGTGAGTGTTTAAGCTATTTTTCTAGTTTGAATTAGCTCCCTGTTTTTCCTTCTTCAGATTTATTTTCTTTCTTTCATAGCTGATTGCATTTGTTGGTATCAGAGCAAGTTCTGGTCCGGTGGTTTTGTGTAGGGTTATCGGATATCTCTCTTAAGTTTTGCAACATGCCACCAAGAATAAGAAACCCGCCTTGCAGACCAGCCGTGCGTCCTCATCAGAACGCAGCAGTTGATCTAAGAAGGCAGTTGATCAACAAGAAGTGCTTGCTGTGATAGAAGATCTAAGAAGGCAGATTGAAGCTTTAGCCCTGCGCGTTGCGCAAACCCCGGTCCCTTCTCAAGATGACGTCGAATCTGTGGAGGAGGACAATCTGGAAGAGGATTTTATTAATCCTTTTTCTGGAAATGCAGTACCCAGATCAGCACCTGTTCCATTTAAAGAAAGGCGTTGGGATGGTGGGTTTAAGGTGAAAAATCCAGAATTTGTAGGGTATCTTGGCGGCGAAGAAGAACAACCACAAGAAGAGGAACATATTATGATAAGGATGGCAAGTCCAATGAGAACACTTTCCTCAATCACGAGGAGCCACGGTTGGAAAGTTTCTATCATGATTCCGAGAATGATTCAACAAATGATGAGTCATGGTTGTTTATAACATCGACTACCATAGAACAATTTGTTGACTGGAGTAAGCCTCAAATTTTTTATGAAGAACCACACATTGAATCTATGGATTGGGATCAATCAGCAATCTTTGGTAAGGAAGCTAGAAAAGAAGAATCCCAAAATGAAGGAAGCTATGAGAATGTGGCGGTAATAAGAGCAATGGAGAACAATGAAGTGTTTAACCTTTCACCAACGGAAGTTTTGTAAGAATACAAGTTTGGTGTTTGAAGATTCGAGTCCTAAAAATGGTTTTTACTTTTATGATATGAATTGGGGTGAATTCTTGGAACGCACTACAATTGCTAGGTGGTTGGTGGAAGAAAAATTAAAGTTAATTAAACTTCTACTGCATTCAACCGAGTTTTGTGAATCTACCCAATTTCAAAGAAAATCCAGCAAAATTCATGCTCTTTATGCAAATGTGTTCTTTGTTAGTATTAGGAGATTATTATATTTGATTTGAGTTCGGAAAAGAAGAAAGAAGGGATGGAACTCCATGCTGAGATTTTTCATTCATCGTGGGAATTTGTTTCTAACTCGAGGACGAGTTTTTTCTCACCTAGAGGGACTGATGCAGTGCAAATGGAAGAGTGCTTTCTTCAAACAGTTGAAGATCCTTAGAAGACTAGACTGAGTTTCCATTAATAGATGCAGCTGATGGTGTGATCAGGCTGTGTGTTTATTTATGGGTTTTGAGTCATTTATCTGAGTTATAAATCTGTTTTGATTTCATGTTTAGGATATTATTGTCATTCTAGTTTTATTTTACAAGTCATGTGCCTTTTAAGTGAGTCATGTGACTACTTAAGGACTGCTTAGTCATCTTTTTAGCTCTTTATTCTATTGGAGAAAATACTAGCCTTTAGATTACATTTCTTTTTTTTGATAAGTCATTTAGATTACATTTCTTTGAAGGGCTAGGATTATATCTTTGCTAGGGTATCCTTTGTGTCTTATAAAAGGGTTGTTCCAAGTTGTAATCAGCAACTTTTGATGTATTTTCAATATAATCAGCCTGCTACAACAATCTTTTACCTCTCACTTTCTTTGGGATTGAGTTGTGGGGTGTTTAAGCTATTTTTCTAGCTTGAATTAGCTCTATACTTTACCTTCTTCAGATTTATTTCTTTTCTTTCAGAGCTGATTGCATTAGTCTACCTCTCAGCAGCTTGGGGACATTCTTATGAAGGGCGTCAGAAGATCGTGTTTGAGGATGCATTGTCCAAGTTGGGCGTCTCAGATAGCCACAAACCAGCTTTAGCAGGAGTGTTAGCCGGCATGGGATTTGAATTTATTTACGCATATATGTTAGCTTAGAATCATGGGATTTGACTTTATTTATGCATACATTTGGGCATAGAACCTAAAGTGATTTTATTTGGTTTCCTTTCTTGTAATATTGAACATTTGCTCTTTTAGTATATATAATACCACATTGTGAATGGGTGATAATCCTTCACAATTTTTTATTTATTTTTGGCTATTTTTTCTTGGTATCAGAGCAAACACATTTCCACAACCTCTAGCAGGTATTTCTAAGTTTTACAAGTTTTTTATTTTATTGTTTTTTTTTTTTTTTTCATAATTGATTGTTTTCACTCTTCTAGGGTTGAGTAAGTTGGTATAGTTGGTCTCCAACACCCAGAAGGACTTGGTTAAATTATTGTTAGTCTACAAAGAGGTCTGAATATTAAGAAAGAGGTTAGTCTTCAGGATGCTTTCCCTTTTGAACACTATCTAATATATTCTTATCAAAAAAAAAAGAAAAAAGAAAAAGAAAGAGGCTATGCAGCTACAAGTGGGCAGCGCTCCTAAAAATGTCTATATTTGGACTTTTCTTTTTTGGATAAATATCTATATTTGGACTTTTCAAGAATGGTTTGAGGAGGCATTGTTGATTGTTTATGGTCTGAGGAGCCATTTGATTAGTTGATAGGGTTTGTGGTGTATTAGAGTTGTTTAATGTTTTGTGACACAGTATGATAACTTTAGAGTTGATTTTCGATGGGGGAGGAAGGGGAGATGAGTTAAAGTATCACCTTGTCAGATGGGAGCAAGTTTGCAAGCCTGTGAAATTGGTTGGACTTGGCATAAGACGAATAGTTCCTTTCAATCAAGCCCTCCTGGGTAAATGGTTATGGAGATATGGAAGGGAAAGACATCGTCCTTGGCGCAGGTTAGTTTCCTGTCGGTTTGGGGAAGAAGATGGAGGCTTGTCTACACGTCTGGTTACTCTTGTGGGAGGAGTAGGGATGTGGAAGTCTATTCGGAAGGGTTGGGACGCCTTTTCTGCTCATATCAGATTCAAAGTTCGTGATGGACGTTGCGTTCGGTTTTGGGAAGATCTTTGGTGTGGTGATCAGTCACTATCTCGTTCATTTCCTAGATTATTTAGTATTGCAGTTGATAAACACGCCTTTGTAGCTGATTGTTATCGTCTTGATAGCAGTGGGATTACGTGGGATGTGCAGTTTCGGCGCTCTTTTCAGGATTGGGAGATGGATGAGTTATGTGTTTTTTTAGATCTTCTGTATCGGCAGGAGGGTGTTGGCAGAGAAAATGATGATTTGATTTGGGTTCCTTCTTACCACGGTCGTTTCGAAGTAAGATCCTTGTTCTTATGTCTGTCTCATTTTGTTAATTATGATTTCCCGTGGAAAACTATTTGGCGATCCATGGCTCCAACTAGGGTGGCTTTCTTTGTTTGGACTGTTGTTTGGGGAAAGATTTTGACAATTGATAATTTAAGGAAAAGGGGCAATTGTATTGTTAATCGATGTTGTCTATGCAAGAAAGATGGGGAGTCTGTTGATCACCTCCTTATGCATTGCCCTGTGGCGAATGACTGTTGGAATCTTATTTTTGGGTTGTTTGGCATGTGTTGGGTAATGCCACGATCTACTAAGGAATTGATTCATGTATGGAGAGGATGTCGTGTGAGAAGGGATGTACGCGATTTCTTGTTAGTTGTCCCACATTGTGTTTGGTGGTGCATTTGGAAGGAGAGAAATAGTAGAATGTTTGAAGATAAGGAGTCGTCTACGGCAATGGTGAAACATCACATTCTTCGTTCTCTTTTCAATTATGTGAAGAGGAGTTCTTGCTCTTCTTCTGATGATTTAATTATTTTTTTGGATTCTTTAGGGCGTTAGTCCCTGTTCCATTTTTGTATAAGGGACGTGTTCCCCTTTTGAACGCCTTTTTTATGTTATTATTACTTATAAAAAAAAAAAATGATAACTTTAGAGTTTTTGACAGTTAATTCTCATGGCTTGAGTTATGGGGGTGTAGGTGCCATTTTTCCCACCAACTAACAAGAGAATCCTGGCCATTTTCCCCACAAACTAATAAGAGAGTCCTGAACTTCAAATCACCATAACGATGCTAGATGGTTCAAACTATTTGATTTGGGCATAGTTTGCCCAGATGTAAATAGGTGGCAAAGGCAAGATTGACTATAGTATTGATTCGGATAAAGAGCTTTCTAAGTCCGTTAAGTTAAAACTACAGTGGTTTGCAGACAACACCATGGTTATATCTTGGCTAGTCAATTTAGTGTAGCTTAATATATCTATTGGCTATATGTTCATTAAGACCTCTAAACAGATTTGGGATTTAGCATAGCACACTTATTCTCAGAGGAAGAATAACGCAAGGATTTTCCAGTTGGGGCGAGATATCACTAGGATTACTCGTGGGACTCGACAATTTTAGGTTACATCGCCAGGCTTCGAGCCTTTTGGGAGGAGATGTCATATTATGATTCCTTCCACTCTTGGAAGGATCTAAAGGATGCAATTTTATATATGTGGAGAAGAATGGAGTGTTTTTGTAACAACCCTCGTCCTATCCGACACAGTGTTATCCGCTTTTGGCTCCCCCGGACCTGACTTCCCAGGAGGTCACCCATCCTGGTACTATCCCTGCCTTAGCACGCTTAACTGTGGAGTTCTGATGGGTTTACGACTATCATGGCTTTAAAACGTGTTATGTCATAGAAGGGTATTGAACATACATATAGCAATTCACCTTCCCTAGGCGATGTGGGATCATGATACTCGTAGCTTGCTAGTGTGGTAGACTGCCAGTCTTGCACCCGCCTACGGCACATCCGCCCACAAGGTCGTCACAGTTTCAGTTTCTTGTCGGGTTGAACGACAAGTTTGAGTATTCTCATGTTCATTTGTGGCGCTTGTCTTCATTCCTCACATTGGAGGCTGCAGTGTTGTCAAATGAGAGCTGTCAGAGGTTGCATCTATTAACTGCTTTGCTATGGTGGTTCGTGTTCCTAACCCTTTAGGAAGTACACCATCCCAGTCAGTTTAGAGTTCTAGTACCGGCCTTCCCCCTTGACAACAACGTGGGCAGTGTGAGTGTGACCATTCCGGGAAGCTTGGTCACATCAAATCTTGATGTTACGCTCTACATGGATGCCCAACGCAACAGAATCAACAACTACTTCGATCCTTTGTGCATTTTGTTACAAAACCAGACTCTTTGTCGTCTCTTGACAACTTTGCTTCTTCATCCTGCGCCCCAGATACCTTGATTGAGACTGGATTTGGACAAGTTCAAATATTTCTTCCGTTGGATGGAGGCATCATCCCAACCCACCTCCAGTTATGCCCACTCAGGTACTACTGCATCTGCGCACAAAGTATCTACATCTCCAACACTATGGATAATTGATTTAGGTGATTCAATGATCCAATAGAGAGTTGTAGCCTCATCGAAATGGGTGAGTGGTGGAACACCAATGACGAGCAGGGGTCTCATGGAGTGGTAGATCGAGAAAGGCTCGAGTATCTGACAACATGTCTTGAGCAAATAGTGTGTGTAGACGGTCCGGTGTGCATAGTTTCTACTAGTGTAATTTCTTATGAGGTAGTGTGTGTGAGTGGACATTCTGTGCTTTTGTATATTCTCTTTTTGAGTCATAATAGTGAATTTTTTTCTCTCTGTGGATGTAGCCCTAGTTTTTGGGTGAACCACATAAAATATTGTTTTGTGATTGTCGTTGCTTGTTTGTGTGATTGTCTTTGTTGTTTGTTTACTTCTGCTGTGTCAAACAAAGGGGATTTAATTCCCAACAGTTTATTTAGCATTTTAATAAAAATGGTCTTGGGATTTTTACTTTATCAACTTCTCTTATAAGCCAAAATTTACTTAATTAGTCCACATATTGTTAGATTGGAATTTTTGTTCATGATGGGAAAGAAAGCAGATCCTTCTGAGATACAACCAATGAATTTGAAATGCAATAAAGATCAATCATAGAAAGATTAGAGCAAGGACTACTCATCACCGATTCATATTTACTCCACTTTTCCACAATAGTGCTCCTACAGAGGTGTCAGTGCTAGCAACCAATTCATATCTTCTTCTTTTGGTTGGTTCTGCATGTCCTATGTAGTGTATGGCCAGTTAAATTACGTAATTGTTACACAATTTAAGTCTTATTTGTAATTTGCATCACTTTGACAACTTTTGCACTTTTCATTTTATTTGTACGCCTTATTTGTAAGATTTTGTTGTGCATTTCCAGGTTCATTGAAAAGTTTGGTACCCATGTCATTGTTGGTGTCAAAATGGGAGGAAAGGATGTTGTGTATGTGAAACAACAATATTCATCACCTCTTCAACCTGTTGATGTACAGAAGAGATTAAAGGATGTGGCAGACAAGAGGTTCAGTGATTCAACTGTACAGCATAGCACCAATCCTGGAAAAGTCTCTGAGAAGGACACGGTTTGTAATATTCACTGCCTATGCTTTTCCACCGTTGTCTACATTATAGATTTAAAATCTTAATTAAAAAGTTATCCCACCTTTTAATATATCAAAAAAAAAAAAAAAAAAAAAAAATCTTAATTAAAAAGGGATTATAGTTGCATTTATGTTAGTTGAATGAATTTGGGAATTACTACATCTTATGCCATAAAGCTAGCTTATGAGTTGCTAGGTGATATTATATTTGAATACCAAACGATATTAGAGAATCAAAGTTTTAAGTGTTGATTTTAGTACGCTATGTCAAACGAAAATGAATATATTGCGGGATCCATCAGTGATCAATTATTTTAAAAAGAAAATTAAGTATACTTGTGAAAAAATGTTGTTGTTTCAGTAAACTTCAATAGATAAGATAAACTGAATTTTTTGGAGTGTTTTATGATTGTAGATATAAAGATGGAGGAAAAAAATTATGAGATAACATATGATACTCTTAAGTAACTCAAAGTTGGGTTGTCAAGGTTGTCATGTGCTAATCCCTTTAATTTGGGATTAAGCCCTGAATTATAGAATATCATTCACCCAACTGAACTTTACCAAAATGTTCTCTACTTTCATTCCATGGTGCAGTCAGTTACTGAAATTACAATATGATCATCAGTAGTGCTAAATATTTACAAATCAAAAACATAACTCTGCTGAGATTGCATCTAGAACTAGAATCTTCACTATACACGCATACTTTATTGCGATAATCTTCCTAAACTCCATCCTCTACCGTATTTGGCTGTTCTCCTGTCTTGCTCCAACTGAGAGCCATCCTTTTGTTTATGTGTGGCTATCTGAATTCAGAAATGTTACAAGAATGAGCACAATTGCCTAGTAAGTTCTCTACTCAACCCTTTCCATATGCTCTGTCCTTCAGCGTTAACACACACAACGGTTGCCTCATATATATATATATATTCTTCCTATTTGATACTCACACCACCACCCCCCTTCTCCTCCTCTAGGAATTGCTTGCAGCCAAGGGGAGTTGAACCTTAGACTTGATGCTTCATGAGGAACGGTTGCCCCATATTGAGATTTCATGCTATCAGATTTACTAAAACTGTGTATAAGTCGAATAATATCTTGAGAATTAAGTTATTCATAACATTGGATTACTTACTAATGAGTTTGAATAATAAGTAGTCACAGTATTCATAATATACAAGCAGTCGTACCAATTTTTTTTGAATTTTTAGTTTATATTTTTTGTACTATTTATTAAAAGAAATTTCATTTGGACTAATGTATGTATACCGTTAATTATTTACTTCTTTTTTTAATAATTTCTCAAAATTTTCAATGAATTTCTCACTCACTTTATTTTTTTTACCCTTTTGTATAAAAATTATTTAAATAATAATATGTGTAATATGAAGTATGTTTATATACATATTTATTTGTACTTCACTAATATTATTGTATAATTCAATTTCACATATAAAAGAAATAAAGTTTAAATAATTACTTTAGAAAATTAAAATATCACATAAATATACAAGTTTGAGACCATGTTCGCAACATATAATATAGAGAAACCAACGGGCCAGTGGCCTAGTAGTATCAGCCTCTTACTTTCCAAAGGGAGGTCGGGGGTTCAAGTCTTAAAAGAGACAAGTGTGTGTGAGCACCAACTAGGAAAAAAAAAATATCTATATAAATATAATATAGAGAAAAGAAAAAATACGATTTACATGCTGTATTAATGTAAATTACTTGGTTTCTTTGAAGAAATTTGGAATAATTCAAAATATCGGTAGATCCAGAGCCATATCCATGTGCAACCACGTTAATTCTAACATAATATAACAATTTATAACTTTGGTCTAGTTGGGAAAACAAAGAAACCAAAAAGTTTTCAAAACTTATCAATTGTTTTTAAGTTTGGAACATTTAGATTGTAGTTCTATGACAGAATCTCGTGTTCTTTTTGCATCTTGATTTGTGGATTGGAGCTTTAGTTGGCGCTATTGGAGGTTAGTGGGTTGAATTTCAGGCCTCGGAGTGGGAATAAAATAAGAGAGGGATTGAGACTTGGTTTGAACCCAGACATTGGAATGGCGTTATATTGCGTGATTCGACAAAGATGGCGGATGAATAATTCCTGACCAATATGTCATACTGCTTTAGTTTTGACGCTGCCCAAATCCAAGTCTACTCGTCCGATTTGGCTGAGATGGCCCGAGTGTTAAAACCATCGTTACTAGCCATTAGTCATTGGCCAACTAGACTTGGGACAAGCCAACACGGGTTTGTGAGGTCATCTTCACATTGTGACTTGTCATTAATGCAATTTTTTCCCAGAGCCTACTCATTTTGAGATACTTCCTCTAGAGCCACGCCAATTTTTTAAGCTTATAGTTTTTACACTACACACGAAGTGACCACTATGAGTTTTTATTTTATTTTATCAATAAGTGGCTTTCTTTTATATTTTACACACGGTCACCCTTCTATCCAACCATTCCCTATGAAGTCAAACTAAATGTCGTCCAACATATGAGCACCATTCCTTATAGGGTCACCATAATATATCAATAAATTCTTCCCTCTACGTATTAGCATCTTTGAGTGGTGCGCGATAGATGGTATGGAAATTAACCTAGGAGGAGGGGGAAAGGTGGTGAATAGGTCTCCTTTTCTCTTTTTAACCAATTCTAAAATTCAATTACTTTAATTTAACTCAATGATGCAATGCATGGAAATACGGTAAATAGTAGTAAAAGAGATTGGTCTTTAGGTGGAAAACCTTAAACAAAGAAAACCACATTACCACTCTGTGGAGTTGACACTACTTCATGAGAACTTCCTCCTTCCCCAGCAATGGAAGTAGAGAACTTATCACTGTTGCTGGGAGTTCAATCCTCAACCCTCTCTGCAGCAGTGAAACAGATACATTCTCAGCCACATTAAGCCCAGCCAAGCTTGGTTCTGCACTCTATTACTCCATGTTAGGCAACTGAGAGCTTACTAGACCTCCTTGTTATTTCCATGGAGTCCTTGGAAGATGCTGCACTCCTTTTTTTTCTCCATTACTTTTCCCTGCAAGGAATTTTCTTGCATGTGCAGCTCCATGTACGTCAAAAGCCATTTTGACCTAGCTTGCTTTAGAGAAATGGAGTTCGGGCTTCGAGACTAGTAGAGTTCCCTATATAAATTGGGTACACCCTCCTAACCCTTAGCCTTCCGTTCTTATTAACATTAGGGTGAGAGTATATATCCTATCAACAAACTTTGGCCTAGCTGCCCCTTGCACATACTTAATCCTATTGTTATGGTTTGTAGAATTCTGAGCCCTAGAGGCATTTCATTGACTGCTCTAGGAAATGATTTGGTAAACTTATCCTAAATTTTTGGCTGAGGTCTAAGGACAATGCTCTTGACTTGATTCATTTGTAGTGATGGAATCTCTATGTTCTGTGTGGGATTTTTTTGAGAAGATTTCCATTGTATTTGGACTTTGTTATATACAAAGGTCACATGGAGGGCCAAATATGTAGAAAAATCGGCTATTTTTGGGCTTGGATTTGTGTGTTAGGTACGGTTATATGATTAAGAATCGGGTTTATCAAATCTTTCAACCTAACAACAGGGATATAGGACTAAATATTATACCATTGAATATTCTTCTTTTATATTCTAGAGTAAATTAACGTTTCAATGGAAATTATATAGTTCAGCACAGGGAGTTCACTCAGTTATAAGTAATAATGCAAGTAAAGGAGCATTATAAGAATCTTGCCACAATTATATAATAAAGTTGAACTAATGCACATGTTTGTTTGCTGCATTTCCAACCCAATGTGTTAGGCACAAATTTCGTACTCTTGTTCATGTGTTTGTACTTCAGGGACTTTCGAAGAGTTCATACTAGCAGGGCGGAGCGTGACTGATTGTCGATTGAGACTTTTTCCTGGAAGTGCCTTCCTTAATCAGCCAAGCCATTGATAATCACTTTTTGGTTCACGATAGATTGATTCCTCTTGTTCACACTGAATTCCATCTTGGTGCTAGGTGTTCACTTAATGCTATCAGTTAACTTTCAGAGCAAGCCTAAGCTCTTAAGGGGTGGGCTGGGAGGCAAAAATTTCAAAATTCTTCTTATACCCCCTTCAAAAATGTTATTTTATATGAATACCTTTACTTGTGGCCTCCAAAATTCATAGAAATAGTAGAATGTTCAAAGGGAAAGAGTCGTCCACGGCGACGCTAAAACTTCATATCCGTCGCTCTCTTTTTAGTTACGTGAAGAGGAAGTCCTGTTCCTCTTCTGATGATTTAATCATTTTTTTGGATTCTTTGTGGCCTTAGACCCCGGTTCCACTTTTGTATAAGGGACGTGTTCCCCCTCTTGAACGCCCTTTTTATTTAATTATTACTTATAAAAAAAAAAAAAAAAAATTCATAGAAATTTTTAATCCCCCGCCAAAAAAAAAATTTATTTTTTGGCTCCAATAATTATGAATTTAAAAATAAATATATATTGTGTCATCTCAAACCTTATAAATTTTTTAAGTTTGACATTTTTACGCTACTTTTGAAAGCTTAAATATTGTCGAATAAAAATATAAGTTCATTGTTGGTAATTTTTACTTCAATATATCATTGTTTTATTTACCTTTTATATACGAATTCAAGATAGAAAATTAAAAATCGCACTAATGTCTCCTCATATTTAATAAAATACACGAGCTTTCCTTGTTAGTCATTTTCGTGAAAAGGAGTAAAAACTAAAATATTGTGATACCAAGGTGACAAGAATGCCAATAACAATAATGTAATCCATATTATGCTAATATTTTTAGTTGTCACTTGTTAGATTACAAATTCTATAGCTATTTTTTGTATAAATTATTAAAGCACTTCTCTATTTTGTTCCTACTAATTGCGTTTTGTTAAATTTTATTTAATTAAAATGTTATATTTTTTTATCGTAATATTTCATCAAGGTAAAAAATACATTGTCT